TGCAAGAAAAGTTTTGAACATGTACTATATTTGCTTCAAGTCCATGTCGTAAATACTCCCCTCCACTCAATGCGAAATTTGCTTGAAATCCATGCGCTTTTCGGATGGATTTCTTGCAACGGAGATAGAAATGATAGTGCGCATGCGTGACTATATATATATATATATGACTAGACACGTGAACGGGAGTCACGCATGCGGACTAGCATTTCTATCTCCGTTGTAAGAAATCCATCCGAAAAGCGCATGGATTTCAAGCAAATTTTATATAGAGAGAAGGAAGGCAATTTTATCATGTTTCTTAAGCGTTTATAGTTTACAGATCAATCAGAATTAGTATACATGTCTTTCTAATTTCACACAACGTTTATTCATGCAATAAACACAAGATTTCATGAAAAAATATCTTGCGTGATAAACGATTTTTACATGAAATAGTGTTATGTGAAAAAAGCAACAGTGGCTCATGTGAATATAGTATGATTTTTCTCTCCGTGTATGTTTCTTTAAAGTCAGCATCAAATTTCCACTCTTCCCACGTCAGGCGTACCGACAGTTTCCGACGGTACTGTATGTATATATTCCTTGCATTTCTATGATAATTATTTGCATTAAAATATTTTAAAGATATAAATTACCCAATTTTAAAGAAAAAATTAAATTTCTCAAAAAGAGCTCGATGAATGATTTTAATTTTTGCGTGGAATATCTTCTTTTTTGTCTTAGCATACAATCAGGAAAAAAAATCTTGGTTGTTTTAATCTTTCATAATTATTTATTTAAGCTCACCGTGAAATATTGGTAAAAAAAATTGAATTTTTTTATAAAAAAAAGTTGAAAAAAATTAAAGTTTCTTAAATTTTTATTACAGAATCTGAAAGAGCAGTCCTTGAAACATTATTTTACGCAATGCTTAAATGTTTTTAACACCAAACAAAGGATTAAATATATGTTCTTAGAAAATAATGGATTTCCGTACTTTGTACGACAATAGCGACCTCTAGTAATTCTTTAAAAAATTTTAGAAATTTTTTTTTACTATATGAAAGATATTAAGGGGGTAAGACTTAGAAAAATTAAAAAAAAAATTTTTTTGAACCACCCTAATAATCATATATGTTTGGAACTTTAATATGATAAATTAAATTATCAGAATCGGCATAAAGTAATTTAGAATGATCAATGAATTTTTCTTAACATAATTATAATGAAAATCGTAAAGAAGTTTTGATATATCAACAATGCTAAATCGAACATATATTGGTTTATTAAATTTAATTTGAACTTTATTGATCTCTATTATAACTAACTTTTCGTCAAAAATATGACAACTGTTAAAATTTGGTTTACTAATAAGAGCTTTAGCCCCGTATCTACCTTTCCGATAAATAATAATTCTAATATCTTTATGCTTTCTTTTGTTCTTCATTGTCTTCCCAAAAATAGAATTGTTCATTAATTTGTAAAAAATTTTTTAAAATATATTTATAACTTTTTTCGAAATTCTGTATTCAAATCAAAATACTTTTTTAACCATTGAGATTGCTTGAATTTTAAAATTCTATGAATGTTCGTTAATTTCATTCCAAGTTGCAAATAATATTTTAAATTTTTATAATGAATTACATATTTTGTTCTGGAATATAATATAAATATAAATTATTTATTTCAAGAAACATTATATAAGATTCTTCAATTTCTGAATTAAATTCTGGCCCCATAAATCGACTGTTTGCTTTCGCATACCTATTTGAGCATTGAGAAATTTCTCCGCGCATACCTTTTTCTATGAAAAGTAACATTTCAATATCTCTTAATAACTCTAGTTCTATTTTTGTGAATTTTAACATTAAATCGGATGCAAGTACTGGTGCTGTAAAATAGTGTAAGGGGTCTAAATTTTAAGATGATAAGCATGTGTTTCAAAAATTCTCAAAAACATCAGCTAAAAGTAAACCGTCTCTCTTTAAATATAAATCTGAATATTCCTTTAAGTTATTCAAATTAAATGTATTCCATACTTGACAAGCATGCGCATAAATTTTCATCCGATATATTTGAATTATTCAATTTTGAAAAAAATGCTTCTATTGTCAGTAACTTATTTTCCTCTAATTTTTTCCAACTATCTATATATGTATTCATACGGGAAAACTCCTTTTCTGACCAATAAATTAAACTCATGGATATTATTGCTATATTTTGCAGTAATTTTTTTTCGTTATTATCTAAAAAAACATGCTAATTTTTTCAAACTACTAGGCGTGAACCTAACCAAATCTAAAAATTTAAACATAAATTTTTACCATCGACATATTTAGTAAAGGAGATATATTTTTCCTTATTTATCAGCAAAAGTTTTAGAGTTCCTTCAAAAATAATACACAATTCTTTTATAAAAAAGGGCATCGTATCCCGACAAATTGTAAAAAACTACGGGTATCGAATGCGAATTTTTATAATTAATATTACCCAGGTGGAAAAGTTCCCTGTAGTAACTACTGGTACCGCTACCTGTACAGTCACAACCGGTAGTCACTAGTGGTAATCGCTACCGGTAGTCACGACCGTTAGTTATTACCGCTAATTTTTCTGGAAATTATACAAATTTTGGTTGCGATTCCCAGAAAAATTTCCGGTATTCACATCCGGTAGCGATAATTAGTAGTGACTATCGGTAGTGACTGTACAAGTAGCGGTACCGGTAGTCACTACCGAAAACTTTTCCACCTGGGTACAACCCTGATGAGTCGCACCCCTATATTTTCCAGTGAAATAACAGTAATCTCGATATTTAATATCATTATTTTCCAACGAATTTTTACAAATGTGACAAATTTTTGCAGTTCTAAATTCCAATTCTTGCTGAAATGTTAGAGTTTTTATAGGCACTATTTTTTTCAAATATGTTTCAATTAAAACAGCAATACTTATTATTTTTTTCATGAACCATGAAATGCAATCCTGCCCTTTATAAGATTCAAACACCGATAGTGAATCATCAAAATCACATTTTAAATAAAATGCAACGCTTGTAGGAACGTGTTTCCTATATGCCCCAGATATTATTTCACCTATTCTTTAAATTAAAAATTTAAAAATATTCTCCTCTTCTGTCGGTAAAATAACTTTTTACTCGTTTAAATTCATACAATCAGTTTTATGTTTCAGAAATAAATTTTCATAATTAAAATGACATAAACATCTGTCACATAAATAAGTTGGACCGTGATGTTCTTTTTTGATAATTAAAATTATTATTATTAGTATGATTATTTATTGCAGAAAATGTATCCACTTTTTTATAATTAGTAAACCAAGATTATTTTTTTCAAAAAAATTATCGCTTATATTAAAAGGGAAATTGTCTTCTTTATTTTTACCAACTTTTTCAAAGCCATAAATATTTATTTTCAAACTATTCATTTTTTCGAACTTAGAAACATCTTTTAAACTAATAGGAAAATTTATTCCCTCATATTTTAAAACATTCCTTAAATGAGGATAAGAACTGTGATGACCCTTGTCGACCCACCCATTTTTTAAATATAAATGACGCTGTCGTTGGCTTCTCATTTTTGAAAACTAGCGGGCTATTTGACCAGAGGTCACATAGTTGCGCATATGTCGCCTCAAGAGCAGACGACAAAACCACGTTTTAGCTCTGCCGGCTGGTTCTCGCTAGAGCTAAGCAAAACGACACGCACGATAACGTGTACCGCGCTACAATATTAATTGTATCATTTTGAACGTTCGATATTTGTATCCATTTGATTAATTAAAGATTTTGTAAAAACTTTATTTAATTCTCCTAACTCGCGCATGTTGTGGTTTGTTCATAATAAATATGATTTTAATCACTATTGCTCCAAGGTCCACCAGCGAGGTTCATTCCGAGAGTAATCAACTGCTGGTAAGTACACTAATTTTCCTCTCATCTCGCTTGCTTCCTCGTCTCTGCGAGGCATCGCTCGTCGCAACTTCCAGCACCTTGTTCGCCAACATATGCAAGCACGCAGTGGAGATCTCGTTATTGCGCTCCCGATACGAGTCGGACTCACACCAAATAATAAATTCACTACCAGCCCTTCTTTTTATAAAAATCCAATAAACGAGTTTTACCCAGACTTCCAGTTCCACTTATCGTCGGTTTAGATTTTCTTAAATCTTTTAAAATTAGTATCGATTATGAAGACAGAACTTGGTGTTTTAATGGTTGGTAATGGTTAATGGTTGTTTCCAAGATGTCGTTGAATTTGTTAAAAGGTGTGATATTTGTCAAACTTGAAAAGTAGAACAGAAAGATCCTCCAGGAATGATGTGTGAGAGAATAATAGAACAACCTTGGACCGACATTGCTGCTGATATCATGGGACCCCTTCCTAGAAGTAAATCAGGATTTCAATACTTATTGTTTATCCAGAATTTTTTCACAAAATAAGTTGAATGTGTTCCATTTAGAAAAGCCACAGGTAAAAAGATAGTAGATTTATTTAGGGAATTATTGATAAATCGTTGGGGAACATCACAAGTTATTCATTCGGATAATGGGACAGAATTTGTTAACCATTTAATTAAATCATTTTCTAAAAAATACAATATCCATTTAACTACTATTCCACTATATTATCCACAAGCAAATCCTGTGGAAAGAATAAATAGGATTCTAAAAACAATGATCGTTTCTATTATTGATAAAGATCATAAAACTTGGAATGAACACTTATCAGAATTTCGTTTCGCTTATAATACTGCCTATCACTCTTGACTCAAAACTACCCCCGCTTTTCTAAATTTTGGAAGAGATCCATAAATTTTTATTTAAAAAAACTAGAAAATGACTTAGAAATTGATTCTCAATCACCAGAATTATGGAAAGAAAGAATGAAGAAAATTCAAATATTAAAAGATTGGATAATTAAAAATTTTGATAAACCTTTTCAGAAACAGTCTAGTCAATATAATTTACGTAGAAGACAATTATAACATTCTCTTGCAAGTGTCCCGCCAGCAGATCTTTTGGCGCTTGAGCGGGAGGAAATTATCCTCCTTCTGAAAGAGGCGAATTCCTCTGAAGAGGAAGATCGACCCAGCAAGGACCGCATCCGCTTCGAAGCGAGGCACAGGCTCGTCGAAAAATGGCAAGAAAGATGGGACGGGGAGGTAAAAGGTCGATGGACTTATCGCCTTATACCGACACTCGCCACTTGGTTAATTAGGAACCATGGAAAGGTCTCCTATTATTTGACAAAAGCGCTGACAGGTCACGGATGTTTTAATTCGTACCTGCAGCGCTTTAAGAAGAGAGAGAGTGAGGTGTGTGCTTACTGCCAGTTCCCTGTGGACAGCGCAGAGCACACTCTCTCAAGTCGATGGGACTTGGAGAAGCAGGCCATGTTCATCGGTGTAAACGCTATAGTTACACCGGAGAACATGGTAGCGCTGATGATCCAGTCCCAGGAAAACTGGCGGCTCATCGAGACCTTTATCATCTCTGTTATGATGAGAAAGGATCTCGATGACCGCAGATAGGCGAAATTGAAGTCTCTATTTTATATTTATTTGTTCATTTTATTATTTATTTTGTCTTTTATTGTCTTTTACAATTTTCTGTTTATTTATTTAAGTCTTTTTACAGTTTTATGTTGTGTTTTGTATGTTCATTTGTCTTTTTACAATTTTATTTTTGACTTTGTTTATTTTACTTTTTGTTTTATTTATTGACTATTTATTGTTTTCTTTTCTGGTGTGCTGTTGATTCCGCTTGACATTGATTTTCGTTTTATTTTAAAATTGATAACGCAGGATGTCCGCAGGAATGGACGAAGTCGCTTTTGCGACAGAGTTGGAGCGCCACCCTCGAAGGCAAAAGTCTTCACGACAGTACCGAGGGTGGATAAAAGGGCTGCGAAGAAGGGTTGACGGGTTTTTAGTGGGTCGGGACTGGTAGTAGTTTGCCAGCTTATTTTGTTTAGTGTTCTCCATTTTTTTACCAACCCCACATAACCTTAGCATGCGGAAGCCAAGGTATCTGTATACAGATTTCCCAATAGTCCCTAAGCAAAAAAAAAATTATAATATTCTCTTGGAAAATTAATTAATTAAATAATTAATTAAATGAATAATAATTATAATTAATAATTAATAATAATTAATATTAATTCTATAATTGATAATAATTAATAATAATTAATATTACTGTCGAAACATTAAGTACAATAATGTTAGGATATTATGAATTAGTAATAAATTACACTAAATTAGAAACTGAACACAATACATTAATAGATGCTTATAATGAATTAGTGAGAAAATATAAAAGAGATACAAATTTAGATGAAATCGATGAAGAGTGGTCTCCAGCTGATGAATTAATGGCAAAGAATAATCTACGATGGACTTACATTAAACCATATGCAAAAATAATATAGTCAACGAAAAATTTGATCATTTCATTGAAAATTTAGTAGATGCTCACAAGGCTTAGGATGAGTTTAGAAATCTTGTTCAACTGAAAGGAAAAGTAAAGATATTTGAATATGAAATGCAAGATGTAGCCACACAAACCGAATCATTATTATTATCCATTGAAATACAAGCCTCGCCATCGTTATCAACCGTTGAAGTTCAAACAGAAAAACTCACCTAATCAGCAGAAATGAAATCTTCATTCACATCCACTTCATCTATTGGGATTCAAACCTCACAAATACGATCGATTTCGCCTTCTTTGTCTATTGGAACTCAAACAAATCTTTATGATGACTCAGAAAATAATGCTAACACTCAAAATTTTGTGGAAACTTTAGACCCTTTAAAAAAACAAATGATAAAACTAAACGTTACTACTAACAAAATTAAAAAAATTACTGTCTTTTTTAGAAACGTATTTTGAACCTTCAATCACCACCTTCCTAACTAAGTTCAAAACTTTGTTTCTCCTAAAGCTCGTACCCAATATTACTTAAAACAAAACCAAACAAACAAGTCGATGAAATTAAATATATTCCGTCATTATTGAAAATTAACGTTCCTATTCCAAATAGTGTTAATCAGGAAACACTAGAAATGATTAAAAGATCATCTCGACCTGTGTGTTGGAATTGTAATGACAAGAAACATCATTTTTTGAATTGCCCTTTTCGTCGAAGAATATTTTGTTATGGTTGCGGTTTACCCGATATTACTTTAAACGAATGCGTAGAATGTAAATCTTCAATTTTACAACAAAATCTTAATTATTGTTTCAATTGTCATTTATAAATAATTATAAAAAAAATGTTTTCATTCGTTCTAAGCTTACTTTTATTATGTTAAATATACAAAGTTAAATAAATAAATCAACAATATATGAATCTAATTAAAGTTTAAATAAATGCGTTCTAACTTATATTATAATTGTTATTATTTATTGAAAATTATATCATTAATCAATTATTCAGTCTGGGAAAATTCACTGTTTTCTTTTATAAATTGACTTCTTTTTTAGTTCGAGTTTTGTCCACCTATTAAATAATTCTAAAACTTCTTCATTTAAACCTCTTGGCTGCTAGCTTGTACCATGAATCAATTTTGTAATTTATTTAAATCTTCACTTCCATTCATATTAATAGTCTTTGTTTTGTTGGAACAATTTAATTAATTATTTTTTAATTCTTGTTTCTATTTTGTGTCATGATTTTGGAGGTTATAGCACAATAACTATTTTATTAATTAATTTAACTTCATTTGTTTGCCCGGATTAATATTTGTTTTTGACATATTATTAATTCTCTCTAAAATCACGACCTAAAGGTCTCATTTTAGGGGAAGACAGTTGTGATTTATTGATTTATGGATTTACCGTTTTCTGCCTTTAATTTTGATTAAACTGTGCATTTGAAAATTCAAGGAAAATTCTATTGTTTTGAGAAGGATTATCGTCAATCTTTGGCTTTCCTATTTGTAAGCGAAAACTTCTATAGCTCCGGCCCTTAAATCATCGTTTAATATTTTGATGCTAGAATTGGAAAAAATCTAGTAGTCATCCTCTTTTTAAGATATTTTTGGAGAAGAAAGACAGTAATTCAACATCTTTGGACCGAATTGATAAAAAACTTTCATCAATTCAGAAGAATTAATTATTAAATTTAAATAAATTGGATCATCTTTTGATATTTAAAGCTATATTCAATTTATTTAGTCACTTCCCGAAAAATCTATTAAAAACATAATTGAAGATCAACAATCAACAATTTTTGGTATCTAAGGAAAATAATATTCATTTCATTAAAATAATTGAAGATCAAAAATCAACTAATCTTGGTTGCTAAGAAAAATCTATAAAACGATTGGAAAACAGGACTCGACCTCTTTCGTTTGGTGGCTTTCAGAGAAGAATAGGGTAAAAAAGTTTAACTTAAATTTTTTTCTTATTAATAAAATATTTGTGAATTAATTTATTAATTGTGAATTATAAGATAATAATTTTTTAAATATTCAGGTGAGACAAATTTTGACTTTTAAGCAAGAAAGATTAATTATTTGAATTTTATTTATTTACTTGAATTTTCTTCGATTTAATAATGTTTGTTTAACTTTTAAATTCATTTATAATGTGATTTAATGTTGAGATTTATTTAGTCCTCTTCGAATTTAAACCCATTATTTTCTTGGAAAAAGAAAGAGCAATCCCCATTTTCTTTGTTAATTCCCTTTTTTTTGTTTCTATTGAAATTGTAATTTTAAATTGTATTTCAAAAATTTAAATAATATTATTCATAATAAATGTATTAAATTTTAATTTCGGTATTTTATTTTAGTTGGTCTAATTAAAAATTTCTTTTAGTTAAACTCTCCCCTCTGTCTTAACCAGATTAGGACTGAGTTAGCCAATCAATAATTTTATTATGTGATCTTATATTTATCTCAATTTTTTTTTGATTCGCGAAGGATCTGGCGCCCGGCATATTTAAATTTTCATTTTATTTAAATATTACGATCACAAAGTCAAGGCCAAAAAATCATTTTTTGATTAATCGGCGGACAAGCTATCCCGATAAAAAAATAATAAAATGCCAGCGATTTAAAATAAAATTTTAAAGGGGCTTTTTTTGGATAGTTTTTGAATTGTAGCTAAAAACCAAAAAGAAACAGGTAATTAGATTCAGCCTGCTTAAAGGATTTAATTTACTACAAACTTGTTTACTTTCTTAAACAAAATAGAAACTTTTTTATTATATAATCAACAAGTTGATGTGGTTTTCACTGACATTTCCAAAGCTTTTGACAGTATTAGTCACGAAAAAATTTTGAATGATTTAAAAGATCTTGGTGTTCACATAAAATGTTGAAACTTATGTGCTCCTACTTATGTAAAAGAGTAATGACAGTTAATTATAATAGATACTCATCTTTCGAATTTGTACCAACCTCTGGAGTCCCACAAGGATCCAATCTTGGACCAATGTTATTTGTCATTTATATGAATGAAGTAGAATCGATTTTGAATAATGAAATTTTGTTGTACGCTGATGAAGCTAAATTATTTAAACCCATTAACTGCAGCGACGATTGTGAGGATCTCCAGTTGGATGTGGATAAATTTTATGAGTGGTGTAATAACAATTCTCTGGATGTTAATCCCAAAAAATGTAAGGTAATTTCTTCACGAGAAGAAAGAAGGCAATTAATTTTCAATATAGAATCGGTAACAGTTCGCTTGATAGAGTAAGTGTAATTAAAGATTTGGGAGTACACTTTACATCTAATCTTAAGTTTAACACCCACGTTGACACCATTGTGTGTGAAGCCAATCGAACCCTGGGGTTTTTATTTAGAATATGCAAAAATTTTAAAAATGAAGCTGCTTTAAAAATATTATTTTACTCTTTGGTACGCTCTAAATTTGTTTATTGCGATATAATTTATTGTAATCTGCCAGATTATTTATCTGAATCTATTGAAAAATGTCAGAAGCGGTTTTTGAAGTTTTTGCATTTCAAAAAGCATGGTAACTTTCTACCCCCGGGATCTGATTATGCACAGTTGTGTCACCGATTTAATGAAAACTCACTTCAAAGTCGTAGAGCGATTGATACTGTTTTATTTATATTTAAGATTATTCGGGGTTTAATCAATAGTTCATATTTACTTTCCGAAATACCATTTAATGTGCCTCAGTTCTTCTCACGATGTTCTAAGCCATTATACACAGGAATTATGCCTGCAAGTAAGACTACACCTATATTGAGGATGTGTGATTCATTTAATGTGATGTATAGAAATAATCCTGCACGTTTTGATGTTTTTGAACAGTCACTTCAAACATTCTTAACTGCTGTTCTTAGTTTCGTTAAGGAATATCCGACGTTTAATTGTTAACCTTACATTGTGTCATACATATTACTTTTTTTATATATGATAATCCTGTAATTGGTCTACGTGACTGTTGGATTTACTTCAATAAAAATAAATAAATAAATTGATTGACGAAAAAAATTACTTTTTAAAAAAAATCTGTTCATTGGAACACAACTGATTCAAAAACATGA